TATATATATATATATATATTTATATATATATATATATATATATATATATATATATATATATATATATATATATATANATATATATATATATATATATATATATATATATATATATATATATATATATATATATATATATATATATATATATATATATATATATATATATATATATATATATATATATATATATATATATATATATATATATATATATATATATATATATATATATATATATATATATATATATATATATATATATATATATATATATATATATATATATATATATATATATATATATATATATATATATATATATATATATATATATATATATATATATATATATATATATATATATATATATATATATATATATATATATATATATATATATATATATATATATATATATATATATATATATATATATATATATATATATATATATATATATATATATATATATATATATATATATATATATATATATATATATATATATATATATATATATATATATATATATATATATATATATATATATATATATATATATATATATATATATATATATATATATATATATATATATATATATATATATATATATATATATATATATATATATATATATATATATATATATATATATATATATATATATATATATATATATATATATATACCAAATATACACCAAATATCTTTGAAACTTCTTTCAAAACAAAACAAAAGAAAGAAAAAACATTGATTTACTGACTTGCAGACAATTGAGGAATGAACCTAGGTAATGATGGTATCCAAAACTTCAAATCTTATTCAGACAGCACACCCCACTATTTTCCAAACATTCAGTTATCTAGACAATCGTTAGGCTGAGCTTAAAATGCAAGGTTTCCCAACTAGGACTTCCCAACTGTAGAAGATCCTTTATGAACTGTCTAACGTACGCTACTCTCACCTGGGAAGCTGTGCTCAAAGCACCCGCTGACTGCCTGGAGCTCAGACGTGTGCATATGCTGCAGCGCATGCCAGAGAGTGTGTGTGTGTGTGTGCGGTCCCGTGATTAGCATTTTCAGCGGTATAGTATGGATGGAGAGCTGAATTGTTAGTAGAAACGCCAGTTGACGTGGATCGTTTTCCTTCTTAAACGGCGTCTGATACTAAAACATTTTAGTGTTAACAGGGCCTTAGAAGCACAGATGCATTCGGTGTTGATGATCCCTAACAGTGTTTTCTGCCAGTCCCTCAGATTCAGGACCTCTGCTACTTTATCTCCTAATTGCTGTTCGCTATCAGAACAACCCAATTAGCCTCAGGAAACTATCAGTCTCACCAATCGCATGATCCGATGGCTGCGAATCTTTTTTGAACTAATCCAATGATAAGCCATTGGGTTGGTGCGTGCAGGTTTTCCGCCTCTTACAAGATCCTGGATCTTCATGTGTCCCGGTGAAGCGGAGTATGAAATTGAGCGCTGCGTCCTTTAGTTCAATCCCATGAGTAAACAGACATGCAGAAAGATTGCATCTGCATTTAGTTGAGCTGTCAGAAGCGTGCAGATATCCTGAAAGTCACCCAGATGCTACTGTACTGTGCTTTTGAGCTCTGGGACAAACATGTTTCATGCTCTCATATCTCATATTCCTTTTAATGCCGCCTTTTTTTTCTTTGTCTCTCTTCATATTCAGTACCTG